CTCTGCATTTGTTAATCACAACACACAAGCCAGCAGGGCCGAATGACTCAGACAACATATGCAACAAGTAAAAACAAGAGAGGCAGGCAGGCTGGTGATTTTCTATTTTTTGTTAGTTTTTTGTTTTTTCCTATGCTTTTACCAAATACAGCCAGGTTTTGTGCAGCCAGTTTGCCCAGAGCTGAACTGCAAGCGCAGGCTTTCTAAGTCCTCTCTCTGCTCCGTGTGGTAATAAATATAGTATCTGATGATTTATTTCCACTCTTGGGATCAGGACTGAATTGAGTTTGCAGCAGATCATTACTCACTGCTTGACAAGAGATTTAAAATAAAGCCTTGGCTCTCTGTGTTTGCTTAAAAAAAAAAAAAATCCCGTTTTATGGATGTATAGGAGGCTAGCTACACTGCCACGTAAAAATAAAAAAATAAAAAAAATTTTTTACTCAATTATTCCAGCCAATTAAAAGGATCAAAGATATGTATTAGATATTAACTCAGACTCTGGGAAAGGCAAACTTTTTTTTTTCTCCCAGAATCGCAGTGTAATGCAGAGGCTTTTGCATTTGATGAGGAGATTAGATTGACTTGCAAAACACAGCGGCTAGATATTTCAATTCTGTCAAATGTGAGTCTGTTGCCTTCCCCCCCCGTCCCCCCCTCCCTCACACACCTGCTACATCTCAGGAGAGGATGCCTGAAGCCCCGCCACCTGCAGGTTGCTGTCGGAGCGCTCCGAATCCAACAGGCAGCAGCGTGTCGTTCATTTTCACATGAGAAAATGAGCGAAATGTTTTTACCTCTCGGCTGCTGGATGGATCCACGTGTCGGGGAAGGAGCGACGGGGGGTCGTTGCAGATCTGCAGATCCTGATCCTGGCGAGACTCCCCGGCTCACACGGCGGCTCCCCACCACATCCCGGCCCCTCGGTGAAGCTCGAAGCGCCCTCAGCTTAACAGAATCCAAGAGGAGCTTTAGATTCTGCCTCTCCTCTCTTCTCTCTCTCTCTCTGTTCTGCTCTCCTCCATCAGCTGCCCCACCTCCTCATCACAGAGGAAGCTCAGTTACCATGGCGACGCGTGAGGCTGGAGCCCGATTGGCGACGGTTGTTGTGATGCAGCGGGTTTTTGGCGGCGCGGCCCCACCAGATTGATTGCCTTTTCAGCGGGGACGGTTGCGTAACGCCGAGCCAGAATCAGCAGATATGATGGAATTTACTTTCAATGACAAAAAAAAACAAGAGAGCTTCTGCAGTCTCACTGTAAATCGCAGCTCTTAAGGTAATTAATGAAGATATCTCAGAAGATCTTTTATTATGAGTAGATTCTGCTTTTATGTTTTAAATCATAAATCCACCTTTGGCATTTCCTTTGCTAAAGTATGTTAGATGAGGAAGCAGCATAATGTGTTTTCCAGGCAGAGTCAAGTAACTATGTTAACTTCAGCTGTTATAAAAATGCCATCTATCTATCTATCTATCTATCTATCTATCTATCTATCTATCTATCTATCTATCTATCTATCTATCTATCTATCTATCTATCTATCTATCTATCTATCTATCTATCTATCTATCTATCTATCTATCTCTATCTATCTATCTATCTATCTATCTATCTATCTATCTATCTATCTATCTATCTATCTATCTATCTATCTATCTATCTATCTATCTATCTATCTATCTATCTATCTATCTATCTATCTATCTATCTATCTATCTATCTATATATATATATATATATATATATATATACAATATGACTTAAAAGAAATTTGACTTCCTAAATTAACTCCTTGAAATTGGGCCTCTGCCTCTTTAAGAAGCTCCTCCTCTTTCTGAAACTCGGCCTTCAGATAGGGGCATCCGTTCCCCTATTAACTCTTTAACAGCGTTTTCACCAGAGTTGCTCTGAGAAGCAGCTCCTATAATGAGCTCAGCAGGCGCGCCGCTGCACCAGCTGTTTGCTAATTGTTGCTGGCTAGTCTGAAGGAGCAGAGAGGGGGAGTCACGGGGAGGCAGAACAGAGCAAAGCAGTTTTGAGGCTAAACTGCGTTTTTTTTTTTTATTGTCTTGTAGCTGATTGTTTTCCCAGTGGGCAACAGAGTGGAGCCGCCTAAAGTATAAGAGTGTGGTTTGTAAAGTGACACAGTAATTTGGGGTTCCTGACAATAGTTAGCCAGCAAGTTAAACTATTAGCTTGAAAGTAAATATTTACCTCGGAAGCTAATGTCTCAAAAATTGTTCACATCTATCAGGCTGGAAGTAGAGATTTATTTAAGCGTTTATAGTCAAAATGATAAAAGAACATAATAGTCCCGACTTTGGGAAAACATGGAGTAGAGAGAAAATTAAGAAAGACACTATTTTAATGTCAGTATTAATTATTAATTAGTGTAAGACTGATTAATAACACTTTCAAACATCAATATTAATAACAGTTTACAGTTTGTTTCAGGAGCTTGACTCAGTTCTTTTTAAACTCATTCAAATGTTTGCTGCCTGGACCCTGAACGTCCTCGGTTTGCACCAGCGCTTAAACCCTGGCTGTCGTCCTCCATCATGCCACCGTTTCAGAGCCGCGCGCAACCAGCTCACATCCGCAGCCCTGGCGATCACGCACGACGTTTGCAGGGCGTCGTGACCCTCCTGCCTTTCACACCGCGACTCTCGACCACAGAATCTGAACGAGGCTGCCGAGATCACGCATGGAGTCAGGCGCTCTCCCTCAGAGGTGAGCGTCGTTTCGGTCCACAGAATATTCTGCAGGCTGTTTATGGTTTGCCAGTGTTAACGCCAGAAACATTAGTCATTCTGTAAACTGTCACAAAGGTTGCTTGTCATGTTACAGACAGTTTTCTAAGTTAAGTTTCCTGTTGAAATCTTTTAGGACTCAAATCAGGCATAATGTGACCGTTAAAGATGGACAGCAGCACCGCCAGCAGCCCTGCAGGGAAAATGGATTGATGAATGGATTGTAAATTGCATATTAATAATAATAATAATAATTCTCTGCTCTCCATTCATTCTTTGCATGAAGCCTGCTGACGTGTGCTAACCGAGGGGCTGCAAGCCTAGGATAAGCTCCATGACTCACATGTCATTAATTACACTCAGCCCACCCACCTCGGTGGGCTTTTGGTTAAAAATATCCCACCTGCAGACAAACTGGATCTATAGAGGATTGTGCAGCTGCCAGTTTGTCTTTAACACAAGTTGAACATTCAATTGTGCAAATTCAAATGACAAAAGTACAAATTTCTTAATAGAAACATGGCAATTTTAGGAAAAACCTGTTGTTTTTATTTATTTTTTTTTGGCGGTGGGAGCACTTTTTTTCCCCACCCATTGCACGCGAGCATCACTGTGGACATGTTGCCTGCCGGTCCTCCATCCGAGCAGCTGGTGTCCGGCTCTGACGGCGGGAAGCGGCGCGTTTTATCTGAGCATCAGCAGACCAGCGCTAACAGAATCACTCCAAAAGCCAGCAACAGCGACAACATCTGCTGCTAATTTGTGATCTTGTCAGGCGCACCTTTCCTCACCAGGCTCTGCTGTTACTCATCATTCCGCCGCGCCGGCCCCGGCCCGACCCGGCCCGACCCGACCCGGGCCCGGCCCCGGCCCGCGCCCCCTCTGTCCACGCCTGTGATGTAACTAACGGCATTTATCGACGCCACGCTGCAGCGGGTGTTCGATTACGGCCTCGCTGCAGAGCCGTATTTATATATTAAATCAATTCATTGTCGCACAGCAAAGACAGGTCACAGCGGTCCAATGTAATTTTAGCTGCAGAGCTGGAAATTGTGTTTCCTGTGAACCCGCTGCACTTAGACGCAACTTTGAGGTTTTTTTATTAAAAAAAAAAAAAAAGAAGAAAGAAGAAAAAAAAACAGTGCGGAAAAGGTCAAAATTAAAATGGATCAGTAACAATAGTGGCCATTAGAAATGAAATTCATCCAATAAATATGACCTTGCAAAAGTATTAATTTCCCTCGCATTTCATTATACTTGAAATTGATTATTCTGACAGTTAACCAATTAGCCGGATAGAGAAGTTTTCACTTTTTGCACATTTTTTATTTAGCCACTTATGCATGTTTTAAAAATACAATATTAAAAATATGTTAAAAGATGCGATAAACAAACAATGAAACAACTTTTCATCGTTTGAAATGCAGTAGCTGCATCCCTTTGGTGAACGCTTAATTATTTGTATCAAAGGAAGCATCTGCAACTGAAAAATACTTTCTGTTTGACCCGACATCAAATCAGTGAAGCAATGATCTGGTGACTATTATTTAGATGAATAATTGAATAGCAAAATGTGCTTAAAAGAAGATTTTGTTTTTGTAACAGAAGCTAAAATTGCCATTCAAGTTCTGGGTAGAACATTCTTACAGACAAAAAAGTTATTTTTTTATGTTAAAAACAAAATATATATATTTTGTACACTTTTGGCATAATTACTGCTTCGTATATGTTGTGCTTTCAAGCAAATGGTCGTTTTTGCATCTATATGCTTTGGCTAGCAATTAATCGATTGCTAAATTAGTTGACAATTGTTTCAATAAGTCGATTCATCATGATTAATCCGATTAATCCGATTAATCGTTTCCTCCAAATCAGACAAAGATCACCAGAGTTAACACACTGAGCTGCTTTCAATAATGATTTCTATTATCAAGGGGATGATTACATGGCTCTCAGTAATCATCCAACATAGTGTTCATATTTCCAGAGACTGATCCTAATGATGGTCGAAGTCAGCACTGGCTCACTCGTGACCTCTGACCCGCCTCGCGGCCCGGAGCAGCTGGCCTACACTAAATAATTAAGAGGTAAAAATAAGTCTGAGCAGAGCAGCTGCAGCCAAAACACAATCCCTGTGTTACCTAGGGAGAGTACTTCTGCAGGTCAAAGGTCAGCGTAAACAAAAAAAAAAAAAAAAAAAAGAAAAAACTAAGAAAAAGCAAAACGGCTTGGAGACGACCACACTGACCTGAAGTCCATCTCCGGCACCGAGCGCCGTCCTTCAGTCCAGCTGCATCACTTCAGAGCACCAGGATCGTCCATTTAAAATAAAGCTGCCAAAAAAAGGAACAAAAAAAAAGAAAAAAAGCAGAAGATAAGTTTTGAAATAACTTCCTTCCTCAATCAATCAAAAGAGCAAGAATTGTGCCCTGCACGGTACATATTAGGAGATTTGTTGTGATTTGAGTCTGACGCCAGCTGAGAGGACGCCAATGATGTTCGCCTGCAGATGAAGTGACCGCCCGACCCGCTCACAACGTCACAGCACGGGAGGAAGCTTTAAAAATAAAAATGAAAATGTTTAAAAATGGAGGCAGCAAATGCTGCGTGGTCCCGATGTGACGGACCGCTGATGAGAGAGAAGGCGCTAATTTTAGCCCAGTGGGGGAATGAGGGGGAGCCGCCTGTCACGTTTCGACTGTAGTGCTTCAGTGTGTTTTGGCAAATGACGGCGATGCGTCACTGTCTGCGGAGGGAGGGAGGGTGAGGCCGGTCGCCTGAAGCTCCGCTGAAATAACGGATAAAGTTCAGGTGCTTTTATTTAGGCTGCTTTGACGTTGCATCCAGTCTCCAGCCAGAAGCGACTCCTCTGTGAGAGTCTCAGACTGCAGGAACCTGTCTGCGAGTGACGACGGTGACTCATCCACACACCGGGGCTAACTTTGACTCTAAAAATGTTTCAAACTTTGAATGCGGATGATGCAAAAAAAATAAAAATAAAAAAATAACCCAAGGAGATTGTCAGGACGGCGGCCGTCATCCAAAGGGAGACGCTGCCAGAATGTGCAGAGATTCGCTTTTCCTCCAGCCAGTGTTGGCTGCTGCCTGCAGACAGCAAACAACAAAAAACTGTAGAGCATCCTCAATCAAATATTCTTGCTTATTCAAATAAAATAAATAAATATAAAAATAAATCTGAAAACGTGTCTTGCCGGCATCTTAGCATCAACATTTGGGGGTTATTCATATTTCAAGAAGCATGCATTCAAATTCTGCATAACAAATAGATCTGAATATATATATATATATATATATATATATATATATATATTATATATATATATATATATATATATATATATATATATTCAGTCAGCTATATATATATATATATGTAGCTGAGGGCACAGAGGCCCTCATCCTGGCCGCCCAGGAACAGGCCCTAAACACCAGAGCAATAGAGGCCCAGATCTACCACACCAGACAAGACCCAAGGTGTAGGTTGTGCAAGGAGGCCCCTGAGACAGTCCAGCACATCACAGCAGGGTGCAAGATACTGGCAGGGAAAGCGTACATGGAACGACATAACCAAGTGGCAGGCATAGTGTACAGAAACATCTGTGCAGAATATGGACTGGAAACCCCGAGATCAAAGTGGGAAACACCCCAAAGGAGGTGGAGAACGCCAGAGCTAAGATCCTGTGGGACTTCCAGATCCAGACAGACAGAATGGTAATGGCGAACCAACCAGACATTGTCGTAGTGGATAAAATAACAGAGGAAAGCCGTTGTGGTAGATGTAGCAATACCAAGTGATTGCAACATCAGGAAAAAGGAGCACGAGAAACTGGAGAAATACCAGGGCCTCAGGGAAGAACTGGAGAGGGCCTGGAAGGTGAAGACCACAGTGGTGCCTGTGGTCATCGGGGCCCTCGGGGCAGTAACCCCCAAACTGGAGCAGTGGCTACAACAGATCCCAGGAACAACATCAGACATCTCAGTCCAGAAATGTGCAGTCCTTGGCACAGCCAAGATACTGCAGGACCCTCAAGCTCCCAGGCCTCTGGTAGAGGACCCGAGCTCAGAGGATAAGAACCACCCGCGGTGGGTGAGAAGGGAATTTTTTATATATATATATATATATAATATATATATATATATATATATATATATATATATATATATATATATATATATATAGAGAGAGAGAGAGAGAGAGAGAGAGAGAGAGAGAGATTTGCTTTGGCAAATCTCCTTTTCAAGGAGATATATATATATATCTATATATATATCTCCTTTTCAAGGATATATATATATATATATATATATATATATATATATATTATATATATATATATATATTATATATATATATAAAAACATATATGTCTTATATTTGGATAAGACAAATATGGTTGTCTTATTTTCTGATAAATTTATAGAAATACATACATATAGACCTATATAGACATATATTTTTATAGAGAAAGAGATATCTATCTATCCATGAGAGAGATACTTCTCTATAGATAGATATCTATGTACATGTCTACCTATCTGGACATATATATATATATATATATATATATATATATATATATATATATATATATATATATATATATATATATATATATATATATATATATATACTGCTCAAAAAAATAAAGGGAACACTCAACTGTGTTATTTGAGTGTTGAGTGTTTTCTTTATTTTTTGAGCAGTATATATATAATTTTTTTACATATACTTGCATTTTTACCAATTTCTATAGGTTTAAACTTCTTAAATGCTCTTTATTCCACCTTGTTTATATTTTCTTTTTCTAAATTGTCCCTCTAATGAATAAATTTGGTTTTCTTATTTTTTGTTTAGAACTGGAAATAAAGATTTGACAATGGATGAACATGACTACTGATGTCTTGTCTTTTTAATATTATCTATAATGTCCAATTAACAACTGTAGTTCTTTTCCCGATTCACGCCAATCACTCAACCCACTTGTGGCCCCACCCAGTTGACTTCCTGTTTTGTCCTTGCTCAGAGTGTACTTTCCTCAACTGATCTTGATAGTATTTGAGTTTAGCATTTAATTTACGATTTACATCAAACATTTCATCCAACTGCCTCATTAAGTATCTCTGTAGTTCAATACTTCCCAATTCAGGTTCCTTAGATGTGGTCTGACACGCACATTTTGCTTGACTTGATGTGGAAATCACAGGGTCCTTGGAATAACACTGCTTTTCCAAGGAAGCTAAAATCACAGGTTCTTCTCTACAAGACTTCTTTTTCAAGGAATCTTCCTGATCACCACCTTCTTGAGGCAGAGAAGTGTCTTGCTCACTAACATTTTCAGAGCAAGACATAAAGGACTGTTTTTTCTCTGCCGTCTCCTGCACTACAGAGATCGATTCCTGTTTGGCAGCAATTGAAGGGTCTTCCAGTCCAGAACTTTCAGATGAAACCTTGAGTTCAGCAGACGCCTGTCTCTCCAACCAGATATGAAACGGTATCTTTTTCTTCTTGCGGCGCCTGGTCGTTGGTGGCACAAGAAGAAGTTCATCGTCTTGCTGTTCTAGTGTCTCCTGTGCTTTGGAGATTAAATCAGGGTCAGTAACCAGTGGCGTTTCCTTGCCGCAAATCTCCTTTTTCAAGGAATCTTCCTGGTCACCACCTTCTTCAGGCAGACAAGTGTCTTGGTCAATAACACTTTGAGCCCAAGAGCCAAAAAACTCTTCCTTCTCTGCTGTCTCCTGCACTACAGTAATGGATTCTTGGTTGGCAACAGTTGAAGCGTCTTGTGGTCCAGAACTTTCAGAAACCCTGAGATCACCAGAGGCCTGTTTCTCCAACCAGATATGAAATGGTACCTTTTTCTTCTTGCGGCGCCTGGTCGTTGGTGGCACAAAAGAAGTTCATCGTCTTGCTGTTCCAGTCTCTCCTCTGCTTTGGCAATTAATTCCGGTTCAGTGACCAGTGGCGTTTCTTTGGTGCAAATCTCCTTTTTCAGGGATCTTCCTGGTCACCACCTTCTTCAGGCAGACAAGTGTCTTGGTCATTAACACTTTGAGCCCAAGAGCCAAAGGACTCTTCCTTCTCTGCTGTCTCCTGCACTACGGTGATCGATTCCTGGTTGGCAACAATTGAGGCATCTTGCGGTCCAGAACTTTCAAATGAAACCCTGAGATCAGAAGAGACAGGTTTCTCCAACCAGATATTAAACGGTATCATTTTCTTCTTGTGGTGCCTGGTCGTTAGTGGCACAAGAAGAAGTTCGTCGTCTTGCTGATTCAGTCTCTCCTGTGCTTTGGAGATTAAATCCGGTTTAGTGACCAGTGGCGTTTCCTTGCCGCAAATCTCCTTTTTCAAGGAATCTTCCTGGTCACCACCTTCTTCAGGCAGACAAGTGTTGGTCAATAACACTTTGAGCCCAAGAGCCAAAAAACTCTTCCTTCTCTGCTGTCTCCTGCACTACAGTAATGGATTCTTGGTTGGTAACAGTTGAAGCGTCTTGTGGTCCAGAACTTTTGGAAACCCTGAGATCACCAGAGGCCTGTTTCTCCAACCAGATATGAAATGGTACCTTTTTCTTCTTGCGGCGCCTTGTCATTGGTGGCACAAAAAGAAGTTCGTCGTCTTGCTGTTCCAGTCTCTCTGCTTTGGCAATTAATTCCGGTTCAGTGACCAGTGGCGTTTCTTTGGTGCAAATCTCCTTTTTCAGGGAATCTTCCTGGTCACCACCTTCTTCAGGCAGACAAGTGTCTTGGTCATTAACACTTTGAGCTCAAGAGCCAAAGGACTCTTCCTTCTCTGCTGTCTCCTGCACTACGGTGATCGATTCCTGGTTGGCAACAATTGAGGCATCTTGCGGTCCAGAACTTTCAAATGAAACCCTGAGATCAGAAGAGACAGGTTTCTCCAACCAGATATTAAACGGTATCATTTTCTTCTTGTGGTGCCTGGTCGTTAGTGGCACAAGAAGAAGTTCGTCGTCTTGCTGATTCAGTCTCTCCTGTGCTTTGGAGATTAAATCCGGTTTAGTGACCAGTGGCGTTTCCTTGCCGCAAATCTCCTTTTTCAAGGAATCTTCCTGGTCACCACCTTCTTCAGGCAGACAAGTGTCTTGGTCAATAACACTTTGAGCCCAAGAGCCAAAGGACTCTTTCTTCTCTGCTGTCTCCTGCACTACAATGATTGATTCCTGGTTGGCAACAGTTGAAGCGTCTTGCGGTCCAGAACTTTCAGATGAAACCCTGAGATCAGCAGAGGCCTGTTTCTCCAACCAGATATGAAAGGGTATCTTTTTCTTGCGGCGCCTGGTCGTTGGTG